TAACCTACGAGTACAGAGTTATGACTTTCTAACCAAAGCATACTTGATGATAAAGATATTTTTTCTAAATTGTGACAAACTAATGTGACAACTTGATGAAGTACTCATCTTCGCACGTTTTTATTTGTTTGGGGGGTAAATAAATTATGGGATTTAAAATCGTAAAATTGCGCAATGTTAACGGAACGCTAAATTCAATTGTTATAATTCTTCCCTTTATTTTGAAATTAATATAGTCAAAAAAAATTATATAATTTCATTCATTTGTGAATAAGTCTGGAAAGTTTCATTAAATTCTGACAATTATTCGATTTTTGCCAGAATTTCTGAATACTGTTGCCGAAAAACTAAAATTTGCTATGCTAATTTATAGCACATCCTCTAACGCAAGAAAACACTAAAAAAAAAAAAAAATTCGAATATATATAATGAGAGTGAAAGATTTAATTAAAAATTCAAAAAATATTTGCTGTCCTCTTAAAGATTGAGGATAAAATCGTTTTCATTAAGTTTCCTTTTGGAGCACATTTTCATCACGATATGGTGATTTTTTTTTTTTTTTACTAGCGATTTGGTTGGTGTATATACCTAAATAGTTACAGAAATAATATTTTCCAATTACCTTTGTTTACTTTAGATGTGGTACAAGGCCGCAGGTACGCGGCACCCTTTACTCAGTCATCATAATTATAGCGAGTCAAGCATTTTAAACCATTTATTTTACCTTCTCAGCATCCACACCCAATTAAAGTTAAAACCTAGATTTTTTTTTGTAAATCAGTCCAAACAAAACGAGGGGTATAGAAACTCAAGTTAATTCATCAAAGTATTTTTTATCGAGTTTTATTTTTCACCTAACATTATGTATCAGACAAAGTAGGATATAAAAAAAAAAGAAAAGAAAATCCATGCGAAAAGTGTCAATGATATTGTATTGTCCTCCTATTTCATCGCGACATTTACTTACCAGGTCGTCACTGTCAAACAGAATCATGTATTTACTACTGTAGTGAATCTAGGTTAAAAAGACAAGCGAGGAATAACATTTCAGTTTGGGAGAATTTATAAACTAACAACAAAAAAAAGAATCTGAATTTGTCGGTGGAACTGTATAACAATGAAAAAAAATTGGCAAATTGAGAAAACTTGAATTTTTGGACGTCTGAAAAAGGAAATATTGAGTCATGGAAAATAAGTTTTAAATTAGTTCTACACAAAGTTACGCATTTGTTTGTTAAAATAAAAAAAAAAAAAAAAAAACTTAAAATCTTGAATTATCTAAAAAAGATTATATAAAATAAAGACAAGGCAATTAAGAGATTATTCTTGGAGATATTAAAGTTGAAAACTTACAATAAAAATAATTAAGTTTCCTACGATTGGGTTTAAACTTCTCAGTCTAAAACTCAAATTAGGAGAAGACAAAAGAGGATCCTGTTCTAAGTGATAAATTTTCAAAGCTTTCATAGGTCTTGAATATAGATCACTTAAAAAAAAAAAAAAAAAAAAAAAAAAACACAACCACCCACTATGGCGTTGGGTCTAAGCGGGGCCCGGCCGGCAAGCCGCTCCCACACAAAGTGAAACAGTCGTTAAGAGAATTGTCAAAAATTACAGCATACAATGTCACTAACACGATCATTCAAATGATATGTGATAGTGAAAATTAAATAAATTACGTACGGGCCATTTGAAATTCTTAAAAGATCGGAATCAATTTTAAATTAAGACGTCAGAAAGGAATAAATTAAGAAGCGGGGGGGGATTTAGAGTTTTTCTCTTAAAAAGATTTTTAATTTTAAATAAAATGGTACAAGTCCAGAGTTGTTAGTCATTTTGAGTGGTTATGATCGAACTTCCTATGCAAGTGAAGTCTAAATAAAACAAATGAGATTGTTAGCCATCACACTATGAGGTGGGGGAAAAAATAGATTATTGTCCGCTCCCTTCCCACTTTGGAATTAAAAAAAAACCCTTTAACATTAGTAGCAACGAAGGAGACAGAAAAGGGCCCACGAGAAATATACAAATAAAAAAATTTAAAGAAAGAAACTGGAAATATTAGGTTAAGTGTGGGTTGCTTCATCAGTAAGCAAACAGCTTCCCTTTTCTCCCAGTACACAGCAATAGATGTGTAGCATGATCAACCCCTATTAACAGAGAGGGTGAAGAGGAGGCTACCCCGCTGCCAAACTGACTGGTGTTCACTTCTTTATAAGAATCGCGTAAAATTACTCCCTGATTATGTCAGGGACTGTCTGGCCTTATTTTCGAAAAGGCCTTCCTTATATATAAGGAAGGGAGTCGATACCCCGAAGGAAAAAATAGACACCAATCATCATCATAGCAACTACCTTCAAAGCATACTTTTCTAGACAAGTAGCAAAGAGAGAGGGAGGAAATGTATTTTAACAATGACATCGGCAGCTACATGTCAAGACGACTTACATTTTTAAGTAAACAATAAGCACACACACGAAGATCAGGAGTAAGAAAATAAAAGGTTTTAAAATACTCTATGTTCAGTCTTATTTCTGAGTTTAAAACGAGTACGGCTTCTAACATGAAGCATTTTTTTTTTTAAAGGTTTTTTTTTATTTTTTTATTCAGCGTTTTAATATTTAATTAAGACATTCTTTGTTGCAGCCAGTTTTATTTTCGTCTGCATTCTCATCAATATAAAAAAGAAAGAGTTACACACACACACACACAATTATTAATTATAGACATTTTATTACATAATTTATGATAGACAGAATGTTTTAAAAGTGCACACCGTTAAAAACAGGGTGTGAATAGCTGCTATGAAACCCGACAACTTTCACACACTGCATTTAAAAACGGTTAATAATATTCACAAATTAATAGTTATTAATTAACTAAAATTCCTACATTATTTCCTGGATGGGTAAGAAGTTTACAATTATTTTTTGGTGCGTGTGCGTGTGTGGCAGGTCGGCAAATGAAGACCTCGTGAACAAAAAGTGACATTTTTGATAAATTAAAATAAACATTTCATAATGGATTTTCATTTTTAAATAGAAAAGGAACTCAAATTGATCACCATCAATAAAAAAAAAAAAAATTGGGGGTTTCCTTTCATCAGAATTTTCAGTATTCAAACAATACATCCTTCAAAAGCAACCCCACCCACCCGACAATATAATTTATTAATAATTACAGTAGCACCTACTTCCTTTCAGATTTTTTTCTTCAATGGTTTATTACAACCAATTTTAAAGCCTATTTTTATTACGGAAAACATCGATTATTACACATTTGAAAAAACAAAAATTTAATTTTACATGAACAAAGATTAAAACCTCATCTTAAACGGCTACGATATTTCTTACGAATAAATGAATCAGTAGCAGAGAAAACGGAGATATCAGCAGACTAATGCTTCGGCGAGAAAGAGTTAAGCCGGCTTTAGATGGAAATAAAATACAAAAAAAAAAAAAGGGCCAAAAGGAGTCCTTTATTTTCTGTGGTTTATGAACTATACAATAATTAAAAAAAGGAGTTATGTAGGGTATTTAACTGATTCGTTGTTTCTCCTTTAAATAAAGACAAAAAACAATCTCTAGAAACAGAACGAGGAAAGTCACACCTGACTCAAGAAGAGAAAGCAATCGTTACAATATAACCTGCTATTCTACAAAACCGACGTGTACAGAAATATGGAGTTTTTTACGTTAATGAATTCATTCATTAATAAAAATAACAATATTATCATTTAAATAAAGTGAATCGCTATTGTTTTTTTTTCTTGATTAGAGAGGAATCTTTTACACGTCCACAAAAGATGCCATGATGATGCATTGCCATTAGATGTCAAAATTATGTGAATCATCATCTATCAGGATTCAAGACAATACCTTTTTGTTGTTGCCATTTAAGGGACTAAATTTTTTATTTTAAATCATTTAGGAAGAGGGCGTGTTCGTGTAAAGATTGGTAAGACTATCTTGAAGTTCTACTAATCACAGTCCCCTTCGAATAAAGACAATCGTTTCCTCGTTCACAAAGAGTGCACCATTTCATTTCCCCACCTCTCTCTCTCCCACCCCCTCCAAAGACTCAAAGAATAGTTTCTTTGTATTTTACAAGGAAAAAATGTTTTTTTTTTTGTAACTTCAATAAAAGAAAAAGAAATTTACCAATTATTACGTTTACGGTCTGCCGGCATAAAACAAATTTTACAACAACAAAAAGGGAAGATTAAAAATAAGACAAATATTACAAGAGTCAATTATTGTATGAGAAACAAAAAGAAAAAAAGTCTGTCCGTAAAGTTGACCATCAAGAACGTTCATAAACACGGGTGGATTAGGTTTTGTTTTTATTTCTAATATGAAAAATAAAATTTATCCCTTTCCACTTTCCTACTGTTAGGTTTAAGAAGTTCCTTTTAAAAAGAACGTAAAACTTTGTTTAAGAGGATTTTTATTAATCCTAATTAGCCCGATAACTTACTTGAGTAACTTAAAGTAGATTAGTGGAGTTAAGTCTTGAACCGACGCATTTCTTTAAACGAATCTAAGTAGAGACAATAAAAGGAGGATCGAAATTTAACAAGGAAATCACAATGTAAAAAAAAAAACTAAAAAAGACGAGGGAGTGAAATAAATACATAAACAGTGACTCAGTGAAAGTTTAAAGCACTGATCATTAAATTAAAAACCGGAATTAAGGATTGGATTATTATTATTTTTTTTTTTTTAAATAAGAAGAAAAAAGTCAGGCAATGAATAGGTTACAGAAAAGCTAAGTTAAAAATAACTTAATTATTAACAAAAAAAAAAAAAAAAAAATTAAGGCCATCTGCTACTACTATTTTAAGTCAACTAGAATAACACACACGCACTCTGTCCGTGAAGGAAGAGAAAAAAAAAAAAAGACTCGCAGTTCTTGCTTGTATGACGAAACAGACTAGAGAAACATCTAGAGAAAGTCGGTAAGACTGAAAATGACGGTTACAAAAGAAGAGATATACTTACGGCCTGAAAAGCTTCTTCGACTTCGTCATTTTCCTCTGGGGTAAGTGCAGCCGATCGCCGGCTCGTCTCATCCACTGCATCCGCCATATTCAACTGAACACCTGGGACTAGTGCGTGTGTCACGCGCTTAAATCTCACTTGGGCCCGGATATAACTTGATTTGGTACCGATTAAGGAAGTTCTTACCTTAAATGGAAAATAGGCGGAGACTCGGCCATATTTGGAAGCAGTACTATCACTACTACTACTACGTGTACAACTTTATTCACTCACTCGTCTTTCATTTCATTGTACCATTTTTATTTAATTATTAAATATTTTTTAAAAAAGTAATAATTTACCGACCTTAGCTTAGTCTGGCACAAGGCTACAATGAAAAGACACACTTTTAGGATGGAAGTCAATGCACACTGACAATTTGATTTTTTAACAAGCTAACAGCTGAACTGTTATCAGTTCTCCTACATGGTAGTGAATTCTGGACAATCTCCTCACAGATGAAAAAGAGACTTGAAACAACAGAAATGTGGTTCTACAGAAGGATGTTGAGAATACCATGGATTGAATATGTGAGAAACGACCAAGTTTTTGCGAAAATGGAAACAAAATGGATACACTTAACATCATAAAGAGAAATTTGAAATTTCTAGTGTACATAATGAGGAAAGAGAGCTTAGCAAATTTGATACTCACAGGACGTAAAGAAGGTAAAAGGGACAGAGAAAAACAGTGCGTAACTCCTGCCAAACGAGCTTATGTAAATGGTTGACAGAACAAGGATAATGTGAGGTAGAAAAAAGATAGACTTTACTAAGAGTTAGAAAGGACAGGAAATTGTGTACAGCCATGATCCCCCGGGCCACAGCATATAGAAGAACATTAACTATTGTTCAACGACAGGAGTGAAATTTTACTTAGCTTCTAAACTTAATTTAGTACATGTTGATTTATAAAGCAGACAGGGTTGGCGTAACACAATCTTCCTGTGCTAACATTTTACCTTTATGTAGTACTGAATAATATTTATCAAACTGGGTTTAGTCTGATGATAGTGATTTAGTGAATGTTGATAACGAGCTAAGCTTAAACTGACACAAGGCCACAAGCATGAGGTATTCGGTGCGGATTGAACTCACTCACAAAACGGTCTTGGTACATTATTGTTCACCCAATAGAAGGTCCAAGAGCCACTCAATGTTGAGGTTTACTGGATGAGGTTTTATGGACGTAAGAGGGGGAGGTAAGAAGTGCAGATTATTAGGATATGTAGGGTGGCCTTAGACTTGAAGAGTTTATCAGGGAAACATTCTCTCAGATGCCCCACGAAGCTGTCCAAATGGAACTCCCTTCTTCCTAGGGGAATATGAAGCGAATGAGGATGTTTCGTCCCTGTTTATGTGATATGGAAGGTTCTATCTGCAAATGTATAAACGGGTGGAACTAAGGAATGCAGCTCGTTAAAATATTCACAATGAAAATAACCATTATGGGTAGAGAGAGGCCTGCGACGTTTCGCCTGTAGGTTGGAGTTGGAGGGTGGGAAACAATTCAAGGCCTCGACGGTTTGTGCAAAGCGGGTTCTTAGAATACTGATGGGCTCCATGAAGGGAGGAGAGGGTGCTTGCTGCCCAAGAGCTTGTTTCTGGATCTGAAAAATACAGATGTTATCCAGAGGACAACGATTCTCCAATGACGATGAGATGAAAGGCAATTTGCACATAGCTAAGAAATTGGCCAAGGAGGTTATATAAAGCGGGTACATAATTCCTCATTCAAATGTGGAATTTGAAACATTGGTTCAAAATGCTGACCATTTATAGTAGTGAGCAAAAGTGAACCCGAAGATAACCTTTAAAATAATTGTATCTTTTTTTTCCAGATAATCAACAAATCTTAATTAAACTATACATTCACCAAGAAAAACCTTTATTAAATCAGTTACAAGCACTTTCAAAATTTTTTATCAAACTAGAATAAAAAATATTACCGTATTTGACGGCATATAAAACGCACGGCTGTATAAGACGCACCTTAGTTTCGGCAGGGCAAATCAAGAAAAAAAATTAGTAATTAGTAAAATTAGTAAAATTATTAATAAATGGTATAGCCTTTGCTATATTTATGAGGTATTATTTTGGTTAAACAGGCCATGATTACAACTAAACGAAAAATAATAGGAAAAAAAGAACACAAGCCTATAAAAACTTTATAATATCCAAAGGTAAGAAAACAAAATAAAAATCAAGCAATTATTACAATTGAGCAAAACAGTACAGTTACCATTAAAATTCAGTCAAAAATTTTCCTTTTATATGATCTGTACAACCCGCGTCTTGTAAACGTCTTAGTGGAATAATTAGGATATAAAAATTCTGACTGCATTTATACTAGGTACCTCCATGAGAACTAGTAAAATAACAAATTTTCAGCACTTTTATTTTTTATTTTTTTTTTTTGTATGACAGACATTAATTTGGAAAATCTTGCAAAAATAAAAATAATTGTCGGATGTTAATGAAACTTTCAGAAACTATTCACAAATGTTGGAAATTATTATAAATATGTTTTCTTTTTTTAAAGTCATGGAAAAAATATTTTTTATATATTTATTACCCCCCCCCTTCCACCAATTAATTTTATGAAAACGCTAGAAATTCAGTCGCATTCAGTTTAGTGATTATATTAGTTAAAAGCGCAAGGCTTTGAGGAAAGCAAATCATGTATTTTTTAATTGGAACCCCTCCCCCCGCCACAGACACACACCTGAAAATCAGCTCTGAATTGTAACATACAAAACTCAATAAAATAAAGCTATTATTTAATTTTAAATGCTTTTATTTGTTTTTAGATGTTTTTATAAATATGGACAATATTTTCTGAAAGTAAAAATTTTTTTCGATGAAAAATGAATTTTTAATACAATTATTTATTTCATTAATTATAATAGATTTTTACATTTAAGTTGTTAAAATATTATAAAATTAGTTAAAAGCCGCATTCAGTTTTGTAAATGTCCTTTTAGCGCGTTGTAAATTGTATCGTTTTGACTAATCTGAAGACCCGCAGTAATTAAGGAATGTAATTTTGTGTTTATAATCGGGCTGCAATTATAAAGTACGGAAGACTAACCAGAATACAATTAAGTTGCATTATTTGAGTTAAGCATTGCTCTCCACTGTTAAGGCCTTTACTTTTGCGAAACATGTGTGGAGAAGTTAATTAAATTTTTCAATTTCAACTGAGAAGGGTACCTACAACTATCAGTATCATCTTATGAAATTTATATCATCTTATTTTTATATTAATCTCAGTTATGACATTTTTCCATAAATGAAATACCGAAATTAATAATAAAATGAATGGAAATACAAATAACACAGTAAAATGTAATAAATGCACATAAAATTATAGTATTTTATATACACTTCTGATAAAATTTCATAAGAAAGGTACCTACAAATTAATTAGATACATTTCTTATGAAATCTAATCTTACTCTCAACAGTCTTATTTTAATTTCTTTATAATATATTTTCCATAAAGCATCGTAAACGTAAAGGTGAAAGCTAAGTACAAAAAAAAAAAAATAGAGCGCTGAAAGTTTTCCTTAAAAATAATGAGGTAAATAATTTGTTCACTTAAATCTAAATAATTTAACTTCTCTCCTTCCGTAGAATAAATTATCCTCACGTAATCCGTCAATATGTCATTCAACAAATGTTATGACCGGCTTTGTTTTATTTTCAAACTAAACCTTTTCGGAGCAGAAACTAAATAATGCTTGTTTCAAAATATTTTAAATAAACATTATAATTTCTGATTTTCTTAAAATAAGTTTTGAAAAAAAATGATAATTGATTTTTAAAAGAATTTCAAACTGAGATTTTTATTTTTTTTTTTATAAAATAGAAAAAATGTTTGACATGATTGATTATCTGTCAATTTTGCTGACTCAAAAGAACAAGATTTTTAACGAAAATTTCGGATGTGCTAGGAACGATTAAAAATGTAAAAAAAAACACCCCCAAAATACTTTGATCTTTCCTCTTAATAATGACATAAACATTTAGACGATAAAATTTTGTTTTCGTCAAGTTTGGCGTCTTTTTCATCATACTATGCTTTTTTTTAGCGATTTCATGGAGGTACTTAATTTATACCAATGCAGGAGTTCTCGCAAGAAAAATATTAATGGAACAAATACATTTTACAAATATATAATCTGAATTTATTGCATTTAATTTTAGAGTGAAAGAAAGTACTAATATTAAACGTAATGAAATTAATATAATGAATACTATCAATGATAACACTTTTACTCTGCATAAGAGTCTTTTAATGACAATAGGTATATAAAATTTACTCTAAAGTTTAAGCTAATAGTAGTTGCCAGGTAGCTAATTTCGGCCGACTATCGCGAATTTTAAACCTACATATGTCATATAAGACGCAGGGAAACTTTAAAAGATGTTTTTCTAAAAATAAAACGTGCGTCATATATGCCGTCAAATACGTTAATTAAATATTAAGACGTGCAAAAGTAAGTGAACTCTTACATTTACAGTTTGCATGTTTTGTTTTATATGGTTGCCAGTGAAAATAATTTTTGTACACGTGTAAAAATCAAAATATCACGTGTTCATTTTTTTTGTAAGCTGTCTATACAGCAATTAAACAATAAAACTCATTGTCTATGCAAAAGTGTGCAGCTAGAGACTAAATTAAAAAAAAATATATATATGCAATGATCAAAAGAACTTCCTGAAGCTTAAAAAAATCGCATAGTTGAAACCTATAATGATAGTGAAAACTACAAAAAGCTATCAAAAATGATTTGAAGTACATGTCTCTACAGTGCAACAAATCATTTACAAATGGAAGGCCTTTGGTATGGCGGCAACGCAATCAAGAAGTGGTTGTCCGCGAAAAATGACAGCAAGTGCAAGTAGACATTTAGTTCGGCAAGCCCAGGCAAATCTTGCTATGAGCTTTGTGGTTCTCCAATGCTCATTGGCCAATGTCGGAATCAATGCGCATACATTTTACATTGCGATGAAATCTGAACAATGTCAATCTTCATGTTAAAA